AGCACCAACAAATCCTCTTACACAAGTCCGTTCCAATCCAGTAGAACATGAAAACTACAGTGTGAACAGCCTGTTCATTCAGAGTTATAAATAACATAAAACAACATTTTTGTATGCCCTCAGGTGTCCGACAGATGCGACTTTGTTTATGTGAATGGAAAAGAAACCCAGGGGCGACTGCGGATGCTGGTGAACTTCACCTACAGTTACCTGAGCGCTCAGCTGGAGATGAAGGTGTGGTTCCCTCGTCTGCCGCTGGATATAGAGGTGTCTGATACAGAGCTGAGTCAGATCAAAAGCTGGAGGATCCCCATCCTGTCCACCAAAAGGTACAAAAACACAATGACCACATTCAAATGCACATTTTCTAGTTAACGCCTATATTGTGATTAGCATTTATTCTGAAAAACGAATAAAGGAATGTAAATGTAATCAGCTTACAATGCATTTAAGTATCCCGTCTGCCTGGGCATTGTTTTTTGTTCTTTTGTAAATCTCTTTGCACTTTTTTTTATTTACTTACCTGTTGCTTTCTTTTTACGTTCTTTTCTTTTGTGGCAATGCTTAGAACAGTTGTTATCAAAATAGGGGCCTCATTAAACTTCTAAAAGGGCCACAGGAAAAAAAACAAACAAAGATGTAAACATTTCTGCTAATAAAAATAATAATTTAAACTGTCATAATTAAAGCAGTTATATCAGATGAAATATCCTAGCCAATATGGGGGACCTTTGAGTCAAAAAGTTTAACTACTAGCTTGGAGTGTCTTTAATACCCTAATTTACATACATTATCTGTAATAGACATGGGTTACATTAACAGGGAATAATCTGACATTTTCAAGACACGTAAAAGACAATAGTTGTAATATATAATATAATATATGTAATATAAAAATGATTGCATTGATTGTAAAGATCTCTGAAAAGAGGAAAAAAAGCATTAACACAGTCCATTTGTGAGAGTTAGAACATTATAGCCAGAAAATGCTTTTAAATTTTAAATCCACATTCAGACAGGGTCAAGTAGATTATGAAATGTTGAAAAATTGTGAATAAGATTGTGTAAGATTATGAGTAGTTTAAATATACTGTTGCATAATGGATTACATGGGGCAGAAACACCCCCTCATTAATTCACAGTTTTATCCAATGTGTGCTCATGACTGATTTGAACATGTCTGAAGGCATTTTGAACATTATTTTAATTATATAAATATGTGCGTGTGGTTTAATTTCCAAATGAGGCCTTACCTAAGCTGTTATGAAGACCGTGAAAAGTGACAGATGGAATTACATGACTAAAAGTGGGTTGTCGGTAACATCTGCATGTCCCTGACAGCAAACCAGGCTGGAGCAGTGAGGAAGAGTGTAAGGGCCGGGGTTGTATGCTGCAGTTCCAGCATGCTCTGGTACGAGTCCTCACACACTTTGTGGCAGAGCAGTCAGACCCTGGGGAACCACAGGCCTTCTTCCTGGGCTCTGATTGGCAGGGGGATGTGACCAGGCTGGTGCGGTACTTCCTGAAGGTGGAGGACACTAATATTGCCCGTCTGCAGGCAGGCAGGGTTCTGTCAGGACAAGGTGTGGGCACCACGTCTATAAAGGTAAAATTGGATCTGTTGAGTTTGGCCTACATATGACAAGAGTAATGGAGCAGGCCATACATAAATCAGTATTGATCTCATGCAGGCCTTAATAACCAGGTGTCTCCCATTGTTCAGGTCCTTTCCCCGCTGTCAGATTCTATCCTGGCAGAGAAGACGGTGAGGGTTGTGGATGATCGAGTGACCATCACTGAACTGGGCCTGCAGTTGGTCAGTGGGCTCACACTCAGCCTGCAGCTCAGCACAGGAAGTAACCGAGCCATCAGCGCCACGGCAACCACACAGGAAGTGCTCAGCAATCCTAAACAGGTAATTTCACAACACAAAACCAGAATATTCACCTTTTTCCTGAACAACCAGTGACGACTTGCTAGTGTTATACTTTTTAAATCTCATTAAATATCATTATAGAAGCTACAAAACAGCACTTTCTTTATCCTTAACCAAAATTTGGGGCATAAATGTCTAAAACACTGATTTGTGTGATTTTACAACTTTCAAGAAATATTTAATTTAAATTGATAAAGTTAGTATTTTTACATTTAAAACGTAAAAATTGGTAACAGGTTGGAAGTAAAAGGATTGCTAATTTAGC